ATCAGAGTTAGCAATATAATACCACTGACAGTTGAAGGGTTAAAGTCATGGATAAAGTGAGAAACTCAATAAGTTTCTTGTTTAATAATGGTTGGAGATGGCTTGAATGGGTAATGAAGAAAAAATTTAATATATGTTTAACATAACAGCAAATGTACAATGTTTTGACAAGGTTTGGTCATCATCAGGTACTGACAAAACCTTGTTGAAACGTTGTACATTTGCTGTTATGTTAAACTTATATTAAAGTTTTTCTTCATTACCCATTCAAGCCGTCTCCAACCATTACTAGTCTCAAAGTGGGTTCCTCATCATTGAAGTTTCTTGTTTAGATACTTAGACTATTGTGGTTTTATTTCATAGAGTAAACAAATCAAAATTACAGGAGCAACGATTTGGTTTGTTTCGAATTTCGTACAAAGCTACATGAGGGCTATCTGCACTAGCTGTCCCTAATTTAGCAGTCACCACCACCCACTGCATACTCGTTTACCAATGAATAGTGGGATTGACAGCTGTAATGGCGATCATGTTTGGTGGGACAGGGATTTGAACCCGTGATCCACAGATTGCGAGTCAAGTGCCCTAACCACTTGGCCGTGCCAGGGCCAGGAGCAAAGAATTGCTTCAAATTACTTACGATCTAAACTTGGCCGCTGAGTCTCTTCCAGTCCTTTATACTGGACATTACGATCTGCATCAAAATCTAGAGAACTGGATACCTGACTTGACTCTGACATATCAGTAACACCAGTGAGCTGGTCACTTTTTGGACCAAATTCATTACCACCACTCAGGAGTGGCTCCTGAGGAAACCTGAAAAAGAAGTAAAAAAAAAAATCATATATATGAAAGCAGATATGTTGTCAAGACTGGATGGGTGAGACAAAGACAAAGATTGAGATCAATATATTTTTTATGCAACCAACCTTTTAACTGAAATAATATTTAGAAAGCAACTTGTAAAACTGCTGGTACACTTAAGCAGACAGAGTGAAATTACAGTTTAAATCATCCAAATTAATTTTTAATGTGAGCTCTTAGTAATCCCACCAACCAGGTGAAAAAAAAATTACAATTTTGTTAAAAATGCAATTTAAAATATTTGTATTAAAGCATATATACTTGTGTATGAACCAGCTAATTCACAATCAAAGTATTATCTTCACATTACTAAAAAACAAAAGGTCACCATTAAGTAAAAACTTAATCTGATAATTTGCTGTAACTTACATTTCTGCAAGTTTGTTACATTAAACTTACATTTCTGCAAGTTTGTTACATCAAACTTACATTTCTGCAAGTTTGTTACATGAAACTTACATTTCTGTAAGTTTGTTCACATAAACTTACATTTCTGCAAGTTTGTTACATTAAACTTACATTTCTGTAAGTTTGTCACATGAAACTTACATTTCTGCAAGTTTGTTACATCAAACTTACATTTCTGCAAGTTTGTTACATTAAACTTACATTTCTGCAAGTTTGTTACATTAAACTTACATTTCTGCAACGCCACCTTTCTTTTTACGTAGCATTTCTCCAATCTGACTATTAGGGAGTTGCATTAGCTTTTCTTCACAATGGGATTGATAAGAAATTTTTCCCACCACCCATCCGGTAAAACCAGCACCTGTACATGTACGAGAACCTTATCAACCTCTCAAAATATAAATCCACAAAAGGCTATTCTAGTCATCATTGTTTATAGAAATAAAAAAATAAATTGACAGGATCAAAGCCATATGGCTATCAGTTGTACTGAAGTATATAAATATAACAATTTGGAGAAATCCAATAAAATTTGTCCAGAAACAACAATTTTAAATTAATGACTTACACACTCGTGTAATGGCATGGCACGTGTCACATTTTCACTAATAGATTCAATTGTATGTGTCTACCATAATGGCTGCAGAAGAAAAAAATATAATTCAAAAATGTTTAGTGTACAACCATTATACTAAAATAATACTTTCCCATCATCTATCTGGCTAAACCAGCACCTATAGATATATATGAATTACAAAACATTAAAAAATAATATATACATGATGTTAGAAAAACACTTAGGTTCAAAAAGTACTTCACAGAAATGAGTAAAAACCTTATAACCCGAGCATTTTCGAAAGGTGGACTTTTCTTCTTCTTCAGGGGCAAACTGGGAATGGCTTATATATTTTAACAAGAGGGAATCCCCAATAGCTGCAGCACTTAAATTTCTTTTGGGCAGGATTAGAGTAAATTAATCTACGAAACCTATTTTTCCTTTTATTAACTATATTTTTGTGTGCTAGAAAATACCAAGCTTAAGATGCTTGTATACCTGATTTGATTTTATTATTCGTCAGGATCTCTACCAGCCTACCCTCGAAACTGAAATACTTTTAGGAAGGATTAGAGTAAATTAATCAACGAGATCTTGAGCATGGTCGAATACATCAATCGAAAGGGTTTGACCTCCCGAGTCCAAAACTTTAATTACATCTCAAATTGATGAAGAGATGATGGAGCTACGATGCTAAAAGTGTGTACTTGAAAAAAAAAACTTGGAGACATTCTATGAGCTGATATGCTGCAGCTAAAAAATATGTTTTTAAAGTATGTGATTAAATACAAATAGCACTCCTGTGATATTTTAATGAAGTAAAATGACTGTTAACAAATTTTTATGTGAAAACTTTAGCCTTTCTATACTGTACAAACTTGACGGAAAATACATCATTCCCCAGTCCTGGACCTCAAAACAAATCTTTTAAGATACATCGAAAACATAAGCACATAAATTATAAAAAAAACACACAGCTGGATGTTAAGTGCACACAAATTATAGCAGGAGGAGAATCACACACACAAGTTAATTTTTCAATTAAGGTCTTACATTCTATTTAAATCAAAACATTTTGTCTGACCAACAAGAGCTCCATATCAAAATCTGAAACATATTAAATCTACAACAAATCTAAATTTCGTATGTAACAAAAATACTGATTGACCAATAAGGATTCTGTATCAAAATCTGAAACATATTAAATCTACAACAAATCTAAATTTCTTATGTAACAAAAATACTGATTGACCAATAGGGATTCTGTATCAAAACCAGATACATAATAAATCTGTAACACATCTAAATTTCGTATGTACAAAAATACTGATTGACCAATAAGGATTCTGTATCAAGATCTGATACATAATAAATCTATATCACAGTAAACTTTATGATGTCATGTAGACCCAGAGTTATCTAAATAAACTATCAGTAAACATGCATATTGCTGACTAAATACTGCACTCTTTCAGAGACATTCAATCCTGTTTGTGCCATTTTTCAAAATGTAATAGAACTTAAGAGACAATAACTTACCAATAAGTTTTAAGGTAGAACCCCATTTGGGACTGGATTGAAGGAAACCTAGCAATGTTCAAAAAATAGTGTAATATGTTTTCACAAACTTCAAAATGTTCAGTAAATAATCATTCAAACAACTTCAAGCCAAAATTTTGGAGCATATAGTAACTTTAAACAAACAGATAATAATAATTTTTGATTTATCACATTGTTACATTTAATAGGAGCGACAAGTTATCTGACGTTTCTTGGTACTTACCTTTTTTAACTCCATACTGAACTAGCAGCATAGCAGAAGCAGCAAGAGGCAAACCTTAAAAAGTATGCAAGAAAAAAATATAATTACCATAACATACACAACTAAATTTACAAGATAATATTCTATTTTTCACTATTATAGCTTACACCAGGGGTTGGCAAACCTTCAAAGAAGAAGAACAATTTTTTTGTTTTTGTCTAACACCAAAACATTTCGAGAGCTGTAAAGTGCTCTACCAAACAGTCTAACCTAAAAGAAAAAAGTCCCCCAATGGGACAGTGGTAAGTCTTTGGACACAGCAAATAGCCCAGGGGTCACACTAAGCCAACAACCTTGAATTATGTAGAGTTTACTAATTGTAAAAGATGTGGTTATTTAACATCTGTGAATCTGCTTCACTTTGACAAACTAAAAATTTATTTAGTAACGGAAAACCTTTAAAAAATAACCCTTTTTCCGAAAAATAAAAAGTAAATCTTCAATATACAATACTGCCAACAAAATTACACATAAATTTATACTCTTTACTACAGTTTTAAGCCACACTTTTAGCCAACAACCTCTCCACCCATCTTTTGTACAAGCATCTGTCTATCAAGATGGGTTAAAACTTGACAAAATAGACAAAAATATGAAATTAATTTCAATACATCCAAAATATGTTCGTTTACAATACCGAAAATGGAAAATAATATCTTTGTCCTCGATTATGTTGTACCCGCATGTACTGCTTACAAGCATCAATGTCAATCAGTACTTTTACTGTAGGTGCTTCAGCATCCATTGTTTCAAATGGTATTCTGATCATGATTGAGTTAAATTGTAATTTCAAAGTCAACCTCAAATTATACATCATCTTCAGAATGATTGGGGATGATCATTTTTAAATAAAAACTTCAGCCTTTCTGGATGAAGAGGTATCATTGATATCCTGATATAGTTTCTTCTCAAAGTCAAAGAACTTAACCGAATTGCATGAAACTTTGAAAGAACTTACTAAATAAAACAGTTTCTTATAACTTGATTCATTTTTTTTTGGTTGTGAACTTTCCAAACTTTGTTGTAAAACACTTAAAAAAAAAACATGAAATTACAAATACTTCCATCGTTTCCACTCAGATTCAACTAGATTGGTATTTATTAACACATCTCTTTTGACACTATTTTACCGACTACAATAGCCATCACTTATGGCTATAAATCGTAAAGATAAAGATTTATTAACGATACTGAACCTCTCCTTCCAAGGTGGCAGGCTAGGTAACAACAGTTTTGCTAAGAATACTCTTGGGCAAGATGATTTACATCTAACAAATATACATCTCAATAAATCATGAGCTAATTTACGTAAGAATGCTGTTTGAATATGAGAAACTTCAAAATAATATTAAAAAAAAAATTAGGATTTGGTTTATCATAAAATTTTGCTATCAGCTAACCTAGTCACTAAACCTAACTAATTTTACCTGATGTATTATCTTTACACAAAGTTTCTATAGCCTTCAAACTGAATGAAAAGAATGTCTGAAGAAATTATCAAAAAGTTCCTTATCGGTAATGTCTCAAACCATCTAAAATAACGACTGTGACGCTCTTTTTAAACTTTAGCACTTCACTTCTTCAAACGTTGGACAGGTAGTTTTAAAAAATTGTTCCATCAACCTTCAATGCACTCTACTCTAGAAACTTCATAATATGAAGGTCACTGTCATCCTTGAGATGTAGGGAAACCAACCACAGCTATGCATCTTTCGGAAACTAGCTTTGAATGAACTAAAATTATTTTTGAACCAAAATATTATCACCAACATAATATTAGAAATATAACTGAAATATATAATGACAAAGATAGGCTTATAAACAATGAAATGAGGTTAGAGCTTGATACCATAGGGAAACCATTTTGTTTTTAATGCACCCATGACGTAACAAGGTTTATGGTGTATTTTATGTCTAGAGAGTGTATCCATCCGTTAATATTCAACGGGAAATCTGTTCAACTTCAACACTACAGAGCCGTACGAGAATAAATATTTTACTCATAACATCACTCAACAAAGTGACAAGGAAAAGGTCGGCTAAATTTAGCATCGAAGAAACTGTAGCAAGTTAAAGTAAAGATGCATCTTTAGTTTACTGGATCATGTTATGCCTACGTTTATGTTGGCATAGTTAACATCATCATCATCATCATCATAGACAGCAGTACATCGATAATTCTACCGATGCTTAGCTGCCACACAATGGTGGAGCACATACAGGCGGGGGCACAGCATCTAAGCCATGCATACACAAGCACTCGGGACAAGTCCTCTGGGCGAGTCCAGCGACATACTTTCGTTGTTTTATCAATAAACAATATATGAAATTGGAGGGGTCTCTGTATCTATAGCAGTAAGTTTTTTTTCCCAGGTGAACAGATTTCTGGGAAAGGAATGACTGTTAGTCCTGAAAATCCTCTCATGTTAATTTACACTTGTATTATACCAACATGTTTAAAGTACATCTTCAGCACACTTGCTTAAACTTCAACACAGAATAAGTCTACATAAAACTACACTGACCATAACTGCTGAAATAAGATATAAAAGAACACTATAATACCCAGGCTAAAATATTAGGAATTGGTTAAAAAAAACTATATAAACTTAAAAAAATAGACCGTCTTCTATGTACTTGCACGTTTGATATTTTAAAGTAAACACACTGCTCTGTATTAAAGTCACAGAACCAGGAATCACATCTATGTCTGGAAGATGCTTAAGTGATTAAAACATCAGAATATTAAAGCTCTTTAATGACCATGACCAAATATAAACATAGCATAAACTGTGTTGTGTTATCCCACATAGTAATTATCATCACATCAAAAACTTACTGGGTCTTAAGTAAAAAAAAAAAGGGGGCAGGGTGATCAGGTAAATGGAATCACAGTTTTTGAGACCTAATAAATACAATATTTATAATATGTACTAAAATGGTAATTGATTTAGTATTATGCTTTTTATAGAGAAATAAGGCCTAACTCTTAACAATGTAAGGCCTAACTATACTATTAAGCTCCATATTAAACAATCATGTTATATGTGCTTTTAGTGAAATACAAGTTACACTAGTTTACTGTGCACTACAATAACACTAGCACCAATCCTGATAAAAATACAATCTCAACTAAATAGTAAATACAGAAAACGCTTAGTACGAGAAAATACTTACATCGGTAATAGAAGCTTTCTCTGTTGCATTCCCTCAGAACCCGTAGCTCTTCAGGTGTAAAGCGATACTTCTATTAAAAAATACAAACACTATTCTATATATGAAACAAGGAATACCAGATACACCCAGAACAGATCTTTCATAAAAGAAGTAATAATTCAATATCCATATTTTCATATCCAACTACTTGTGAGCTTTGAAAGTCCAACCAGACTAATTTTCTCCTTACAGAGTAAAATTGTTTGGTGACTAGCTAGTCATATTCATTAACGACCCACCTAATTACGAGAGGAACTGGAAACTCTCCACACTTTTCTTCTTAAGACCAATCCACTGTAAGAGGATTAATTCAAACCTAGCTTTTCCTCTAGCAACTTAGCTGTGTGTATTTCACACTTGCATCTATTAATGAGGAGGATAACTCATAAAGATGAAACAACAGTAAATCCCTACTTTGAAAATTGTTTTAAAATCCATCCAACTAGTATCACTTTACTTGTTTGTGTAATCTTTTTTTTTGTATTAGATACTTCTTATATAGATATAAAGGTATTAAATATACATAAAAACAAAGATTTGTAGTACTTTCTCCATACTCATTCTCATTTGTACTCCAGTAAAAATTAATATCCTCCCAAAAGTCTCTTTCAGTCTCACAAATTTGGGCATCCAAAACAGAATTCATGTAGCTTTTAAATATCCATCTTAGAATTCAATTAAACATATAATTCAATAGAATATTTCAACACAACTCAAGTTTATCTGGCTTTCTATATAAGCTCTAATTAGGCTAAAAACAAAATTCCATTGGATGTTCGGAATAGCACCACAATGCTAATGGGCTGAGAAACATCTAAACAGTGAATAATCTAGGTGGGAAAATCCAAATGCATTACCTTGGACTTAATATAATTTAAGGTCATTTGCCAAATGTCTAATTTGCTAATTGATACAAGTCATTCTGTAATACCTAATCATCTCATGTACAATTAGAAATACCCAAAAGTTTAACCCAGTGACGGCTGATTCACCATATAGGGTACGGTCCACTTCCAACAGTTGAATGCGAGTGTGTCATATATGATGTATGGCTTGTAAAAATTATGTATGTTTAGAACAGCTGCAGTTAATGGGTTAATTTCATCAGCAAATTTACTAATTATGCCCATTTCAATAATATTAATGTGAATAATAAAACAACAGCCCAAGCACTGACCCTAGTGACACCCCACTTGTAGAAATGGTCCAATTTGACTGGATTCTATTAATAACAACCTTTTCCTTTCTCTCATCCATCCACCCTAAAATACAGTTAACCAGTTTTTCTTTAACCCCTACCAATGTGATTTACTTAAATGATATTCTAAGTGGCATAACATAAAAAACATTTTGAGAATCTAAGTATGTGGTTCATGGTTTACTTAACTTATATATTTTATTCTCTCTATGTTGGTTTTCCAGAAATAATTCAAGCATCTTTCAAATATACATTTTAAAAAACAAAATAATAAATCAGACACTAAATTATAGCATCCAAAAACTACTGTAATTTATCTGGCTTTCTAACTTACCTATAAACACTAAAAAAATTCATTACTTATTGGAGCAACATATTCAGTCCAAACACATCAAACTCTTATGGGGAATTATTCGCTTTTACCGCTAAAACAAGAGAGACAATTGTCTGATCTATGTACTGCAGAATTTGCCTTTTCTATTTGTTATAAACATGTCCAATAGCGAAATCAGAAAGAATTACAGACATTTCTAAAAGACAGAGAATATGGCAGGAGCATGTCAATGTGAGTTGAACAAATATAGTCATATCTCAATCAAGCAAGAGGTTTTAAATTTTATACTCTTACTTGTCAATATCTATGGCATGTATTTCTAATTGGATGAAAAATCTAAAGACCTTTTAAGGTAAGAGAAAAAACAAATCTATAATTGACAAGTCACAGTGCTACCAAGTCAACAAACTCTGAAAATGCAGATAGAGAAATTATTTGAATATTTGCATTTTAAATTAAGAAATTAAAACTTAGATAATATAAACCTTTTAATCATAAACCACGTTTTGATGCCAAACTTGTTTGTTTTTAAGTAAATCTATCTGCTGTGTCCAGTGTGGGGAATTGAACCCTGGAATTTATTTAGCATTGTAAGTCCACAGACTTACCTCTGTCCCATCAATGCCAAGCTTGTTGAAATGTATTGACAAGAATGTAGTTTAAAATAAATATTGGATGTAATACCGTAAAAAAATGTCAAGACATGTAAACTCTGACCAGCCATAACCATAGGGTTAAAACTGGAAAAAATGCTCTCTGGTTCTGGTGCTTTATTTTTGGTCTCTCTCACTTTCTACTCCACCAAGGAATGAATAACTACATGATAGATAAAGTTTTAAACCAACAATGTTTCCCTGTGATTACCTCAAAGCCCAAAATTAGGAACTCTGGTTTGACAAAATTGACTTTTCTAAGTTTCATGGTTAGGTTGCTTTGTTTTAACTTGTGCAGTACCCCCAAGATGTATTGTATGCTGTTCAAAGGTGGAAGATACTTTTTCAACAATATATGCTATGGTTATTTTATACAATAATTCACTCCACACAGAGTGTTGGAAAGTAGCTGGAGCATTATTTCATTCATATGGAAGCACTCAAACCTGAAATAAGTCACAATGGTAACAAAAGCCATTTTTGGCAAGCTTTCTGTGGGTTATCCCTAGAAAAACATAAAGCCCAACAATACTCCTAAATCAGAATATTACATGGTCATCATGTGACCACCACTTAGGAAACAAGCTGGTTGGAGGTAGATGGCTCTACTTTGTTTACATTGCTAGCCACAATATACATGCAGTGCTGCCACTATCTGGGTTATAGAATTTAGAAAGGATTTCAGAAGCAGAGAAGGACTGGGTATACTGTCTCATAAGTCTGATACCGAGAAACTGAAACATAAACAACTAATTACTTTACTTTGATTTTAAAATACAGAAAGAATTACAGATTTATTTTATTCTATGGAATACTTCCATATTTGCTTTCCTATAACCTTTTAAAACTCAAGTAAAGAAACTGGTAACAGTATTTAATATTAGTCCTCACTCACTATTACTATTATTAGTACTAGTGCTGGTGAGTAAATGTTAGTAATAGTAATACTACTACTAGTAATCAAATTCAGTTTCCTGTAAAAATAACTCATTTCATATTAAAACAAAGAAAAACTTAAACCTGTTGAAGAGGTAAAGGTTGTTGGCCATACTGGTTTGGAGATGAATAGTCTGCACGAGAAACTGAATCGCCAATCCCTGTACTACCATCATTTCCTCTAATAGCGTTTTGTGAATCCGCCATTTTGCTTCCCTGATCTTTGAAGTGCCCTCTTAAATAAACACATTTCCGTTATATTCGAAAATATAAATAAACTCGACGTCAACGAATAATGTTATATATGCGATTAACTTTGCATTTTATCCAATGTTTATCCAAGGTTTATCCAATTGATGAAACAATGCATTCTAATCCTTGTAAATAAGAACGTAAGTGCAGTATATTTAATTATCTATACTCATTAGTAGGTTGATTTTTATTTTTGCTCTGAATAGATAGGTTGGTCTGAGCAGGAGTTAATATTAATCATCCTTGTTACATATTGATGAAATTGATACTAAATTAAAATTCAGACCGGTTTTACAACTTTTCATCTCATAATAATATTATATGACACATTATACAATCTAAACAAAAAAATTATAATAATAATAACTCACCAAAAATGTTAAAGAGTTCAAACTAATACCACTCACAACGCCCACGGTGGATCATCAATAAGTCTGAGGACTTAAAACGCTAAAAATCGGATTTCACTTAACAAAATACAAAAAAAAACTTTCTTTTTTTTTATCCGCTGGTATCGACAGCACGTAGACTCAACATGTTATGTTTCTGTCGAATGCCGACTTGTAATGACATAACGAATTGATCCAACGCTTTGTAGTGGTATCGTGTAATTAAAACCCACGTACTCATTGTCTTGTTTCGGCAACTGCCTTGAACAAACTTATTATGGCTCTGGTGGCTTGCCATAAAATCTTGACAAATTCACACCAGCTCAATAACTTGACTGACGCAGACGTCACCAGATAAGATCCTACTGTATACAAGCTTAATTAACAATAAACTAGGCACAAGTAAAGACCGGTCGTATATTGTTTTCAAAGGATATCTAACTGAAGCTATATGTACAGTGATATTGGAAAAATATAGATTGTAAGTTTAGAAAAAGCTTCAATCATGATATTGCATACAACACACCGATCTCAATGTATACTTTAAAATACAAAAGTTTTTATTAAAAAATTCAAGTCGAACCATTAACAGGCCTTTAGGACCTTGTGTTGTCTTACAATACCAGCCTGTTTAGAGTAGTTGTTCTTTTTGAACAACACAGATCGTATATCAATATTAATTTCGGAAGACGTAGTTATTAATCTTTTTCTAGTCTTGTGTCAAGTGATCAGTGAATATCTAAAATGCTTTGAATATGAAATAACATCTAAAAACACTGGAATAATATTTGTTTAAGATACTCGCGTTTCATTAACCAACTAGGCCTCCTAGCAAATAAATATATTGAAAATTTTTCAAATCCAGTCACGTTAGAAGTAAATTAATATTATATTCTAGTCTCGCATTACGTAAATAAAAATGAAAGGCATTTTATCTCATAAATGTTTTTGGTGCTTTTATTGTTGAGTCAATATCAACTGTGATTGAAGTGAGTTTAGAACAATCAAAACACCTAGGATGAGCTATTTTCAAAACCACGAACACACTCATCTCCCATTTTTTTAAGAAAGTGAAAAATAGAAAGTAGTCTCGCAACTTCGATGGACGTGCATTTAATAAATAATAAACATTATATCGAAAACTATAGTTTTATTTTTGTTATCAATGTCACTACTTGCAAGTGCCATGGTGCAAAAGGTGTTAATTTTTTAAAATCTTTATCATGATATATTATCAACTAATCATATTGAGGATTCAAATTCGATGACGAGGAACCCACTTTGAGACTAATAATGGCTGGAGACGGCTTGAATGGGCAATAGAAATATATATATATATATT